AGTAAAAATATTTTCAGCATAGTATTAGACAACACAGGAAATTAGTACAAGCTTAAAGAATAAATAGATAAATCTATTTTAAGAAATTTAGAAAAATTTATGATGGTTTTCAAGAATACAAATTCATTCAATCATTCATTCAAAAGTTCTTAATCTCCATGTAAGGCATGTTGTGGAAAAACTGAGATATGCTAGACAGAGTTGTGATCCTTAAACAGCTATCACTCAGACTAAAATATGTCATCTATGTTCTTTTACATGTAAACTCTTTTATTCCTTGAATTTACTCTCTATATTTATTCTTTTTAAAAAAATAAATGAATTATATTTGAGGAGGAAGCATAAAAACTTACTTCATGTTAATTAGTAGAGGTGATAAACATTACCATTGACATCTACCTGATGACTTTAAATCCATACTCAGGTGCTAAGGATCTGAGTGTAACCGACTCTGACTAGTAATCATCAGATACATAGAGATTAGAGACACATGTGCAAACATCTAAGCATTAGTAGAATTAAAAATGAGTTTTTCTACAGGAAATAGTGTATTTCTGCAAGGAACAATATATTCTACAATGAAATGGAGATCTTTTTTAAAGGTTAAAAACTCATTCAATTTTATATTTTACAGTGTTTATACTGAGTTCAATATTGTACAACTATATTAATTCAACTGTGAACCGAAAAATTTACAGCCACTTTTGAATGAGATGTATCTTTGCTCTGGAAATTGTTATTGAGTATGTTAGAGCTGTAATGAAATGCTTCTTCTAATCATGTGGGTATTAAATAAATTTTTTAAAAAAGTTATACCATAAGAAGGTCAAGAAAGAAATTCAAAAGTTAAACACATGCATGCATAATTTTCTACTCACTGAATATTGTATAGAAAATTCTTTAGTTGAGTATATTTGTGAATTCACAATGAATTTAGTAGTGCTCTACACAATGAACATACAACAGAAAACAAGACAACAAAATTTCATTTCTTTATCCTCCCTATGTCTTGGCATTTCCATTAACTAGCTAACTTTTTAGCACATTACAAGAAATAGTGTAATTATACATAGAAATGGCAGATGTCCCACATTATATCCAACCCCATGGCATACACTGTTAATTAATTATGGTTATCATTCTAGTTTTTATGTGATCTTATAATGCTTTCCATATAGTAATCAATTACAATTAAGAAACATGTTAAAGTAGACATTTCAACATCTGAGTAATACATCTAACAGTCAAATCAGACTGTTCAGACATCAATGTAATGCTGCCTCTTTTTCAAGGTCTGAAACTATTGTTCCATGCATTTTGTTCTGTTTTTCTTCACTGTGGGAAGGGAAATTTCATTTTTTCTCATTGTGGCTATCACTGGAAGTCTATGTACTTATCTATTTATAAGTATGACCCTTTTTCTAAAGGCACACCCTGGACAGACCTGGACTAAATAACCGTAGAAACGCTGGCACTGGTTATCATTATTTAAATATTTTCCTTTTAGATAGTGCAGGTTTTTCTGAGGCTACTGTAAGAAAATACCACAAATGAGATGACTTTAAAAACAAGAAATTTATCACTTCGAGCTATGAAGATAGAAGTCTCAAATCAATGCCACCTGAGCCATGTTCATACTGAAGGCTGTAGGACAATTATTCGTTATCTCTTCCTAAATTTACTGTTGCTGAAAACTGCTATCCATTCATGGCTTAATTCCAATCTTTGCTTTTGTTATCACACACAAGTTCTTGTTTCTATGTCTTGAGCCATTTTCTTTTTAAAAATCCAGTAATATTAGATCAAGAGGCCACTCTATATGGGTGTGACTTCATAAAATCTAATTACAGTGCAACAACCCTATTTCCAAATAAATTTATATCCTTAGGTACTGAGCTTTAGAACTTCAGTTTACTTTTTAGTCCTCGTAATATAAAATCAGGCCTAGGAACCTGTGGATAGACCGGTTACAGGCCATAGGGGAGAGCCTATTACCATTATTCTGCTAAATACATACAGTATTAAATTGACTCCTTATTATTTATTCTTATACCCATAGATTAATATACATCTCAACTCTCTCCAGAGAATTTCCTTATGCAGCAGCTAGTGATTAACACAGAAATCCACAACTGGCCAATGTACAGAGAACAACATGCTGCAGAATGCTTATCCCTGAATAAGATACCTACATCAAACTCCTGTCTCTCAAGGCTCAAAGATCATTTCAGAAAAGGTGGCAGGAAGATTATAAGAACCAGAGGTGGTGGATGACCACAAGGAAACAGTTTTCCAGGCTGTCGGTCAGTTACTCATATGAACTCATAGCAATTGTGACAGCATGCACAAGTCCCACATAAGCTCAGACCAGATAAAAATTACAGCATAAATGTAGACAAGTGAGTAAGAAACCCAATCCTAAGGCCTACCTGAGGAACTACTGGCAACTGATGGCTCCAAGGAAGGGGAAAGTCAGTCTCATTTAAGGGTGAGACTCTTGATTGGTTTACCAGGCTCCAGCAGATGGCCCCAAACCAAAGGGCACTTGGGGACAAATCAAGTTTGACTCAATGGATATATATATATATATATATATATATATATACCTCATAAAATTTGCAAAAATTCAATAAAATTGATGCATAACCAAAGGAAAAAACCCTAATTAGAAAAACCACTTATATTCAAATATCATTTTATAGTACATGTACAAACAAGACAACATATTAAAGTCAAAAATATAAAGAGGAATCTGAATTAAGAAAACTTATTTGGAAATGAAGAATAGATTTGTACCAGGACCCACATGTTTAGGCTAACAAATTGATCTTACTCCAGGGAACTCTATATTAAGTTGTGTACGGAACTGTATAACAATTAGTTTCTTTTAGTTTTAAGGCATTAAATCTGTGGCACTTTGTTAAGGCAACAGTAGACAATGAAACTAACATGTTTAGATCATTCTGTATTCCTCTCTGAGGGTAAGGGTTTTCTACTCTGAAATAATGTAGTTTACTGCTGCATCTTGAACAGATTAAGCTTATAGGATCAAGGAGGACAGGGTGGATAGCAGGAATGGCAGTACCTTGCACAAATGACTGATTCTCCTGATGGGTGTTACATCTTGTCTTATTTCTCAGAGTAGGCCCATGCTTTGTGAACATCCCCTTTCTAATCCATGGACTAGTCTTTTGCTTCTACGCTGTTGGCAATTCAGTTACCTCTACTTGAACTGCTCCAGTGGGCTAGTTCTTACTACTCCATCAACTCATGTCCTGAATCTCTCTCAACTATAAAATACCTCTCAAACTCTAAACCTTCTCTTCAAGGTTGAATAATACAGGCTTTCTTAACTGTCTCTTCCATCCCTCCATGCTTTAATAACGGCGTACTCCACACTAAATTACATTTGCTGTTTACATTCTGTCTCTCCTTTATGGTTGTCAGTTGCTAAGCACAGTGCTAAGAACATAATAACTGCTCAATAATGCTTGTTAAAATTATTATACCCCCCCAAATCATGAACTGAATGTTTGAATTATGCTTTTTTCATAAGAATTTTAGCGAATTATACTCACTATAGACTCATATATTTTTCATATTTCACTTAAGGAAATATTTAAAAACAATCTCTATTGGCTGTAATTCGGACTTAATAATCATCATTCATATATATATATACATACATACATACAATTTTTCAGATACAAACAGCTAGATAATACATAGATGGATTTTACATCAAGTAGGAAGCAAATAGAATTTTATTCACACAACTAGTTGATCTGTTGTGAAATGGGATTACATGATTTAATCTAAGTGCTTTTGAACCTTCCCAATACTCAAAATAAAAACACTTTCAAAGGGAGTAACTCATTATCAGAAATGAAAACTTAGGGAAAAAAAGCAGAAAACATTTCACAAGTACCCTAAATAACTGTGGTTAATCTTGTAGACTTGAGATTTAGAATCACCATGGAATTAAACCTCCGGGTACATCAGAAAAGTTTCTAGACTGGGTTAACTGAGATGGGAAGACCTGCCCTAACCTAGACCCAGGGGCCGGATCCCAGGATGAGGAAAGAGGAGAAACTAGCTGAGTACCTGCATCCCCCTCTCTGCTCCCGGACTCTAAATACAGTGGGGGAGCTGGCTAAGCACTTCGACCACTATGACTTCCATGTCATGATGGGTCTGCACCCACAAATTGTGAGCCAAAATAAACCCTTTCTTTCTCAAATTGCTTTTGTCAAGTATTTCATCGCAGCAAGGAGAAAAATGCGAGTCAACACAAGGGCTAGCACCTGTTCAGAAAGGCAATCCTGGCCACTTAGGACATAATTAAAAAGAAAGCTAAGATTTGATGTTTCTTAATTGCTTCTAATAACATATTTTAGTGTAACAGATAAAAAAATGTCTTTGCCGTCTTGGACAAATCTCATGGTTGATGACTTGAATTCATTTACCTCCAGCAAAAGCATTAGGCTGTAGGCTCCAATTTCAGGGTTGTTTCCAGCACAATGAGCCGTACATCAGGCAAACCCTGTAGGGCTGCACCGCCCAACAGCATCTTCCCAAGCAATGAGAATTTTGGAGGGCTTAGGAAAATATCTAGATTTTTTATTTCAAGCAAAGGAATAAGCTTTAAAAGAAAGCAGTACAATAGACCCTAGGTTTGAAGCGGCCCTAGCAGATTTTACTATCCTTCCGGCCCCTTCACAGACTTTGAGCACGCCGGAATTCCACTCCCCACAATACCTTGCGGCGAGGCGGGGCTAAAGGGACTGTTTTTACCACTGGTCGGCTCGCGGTGCTTCGGGTTTGATTACAAACTCGGGTCCTTCCCTATGGCGGCTCTCCAACGACACCGGATTTGCTGGGCATTCGGCGCAGTAGAGGCCGGCTTTTTCCTCACTGGCCGGGGTGGGAAGAGGACTTTGCGCCCCGCGGCCTCACGGTAGTTGAAGTCCATACAGTGGTTGGAGCGGTAGTGTCTGTGGCTGCATTAGAGCCTTTGGACTACGTTTCCCAGGAGCCGAAGGGAGCGCCCACAGCGTGGGGGCGGTGCCTCCTGTCTGGTACAGTCATCCCTAACCTGTTCCGCGGGATTGTGATGGCCGGGGAGATGACAATCTTAGGTCAGTACCCCAGGGGTCGCTGCTTGTGTCAGCAGGCGGGCGGCCAGAGGAGGTCCCGGAGGGGCAGGGGTGGTGGTCTCACCTCTTGAACCAGGTCACACACCGGGAGGGAAGCCTGAAAGGGGACTTAGGCTGTTTGAAGCTAGTGGGGGGTGGGGCGCCTATAGACAGGGTCCAGCTTGGTGCGGCCTGTTGGGACCCTGCTACAGTCGCACGGTTCTGGGGGACACGGGTTTAGGGTTGAGTTCTTAGCAGCACACCCCAGTTTTGAATTGCTGGATGAATTTTTCCCTTAATGCAGGCGGAAGCCTTTGTGGAATAAGAGGGAGGATCAATAGCAGCATCCCCAGCTGCAGACTCCTGGGATGCTGTACAAGGGATGCTGAGTTGGGAGGGATGCAGGCCTCTGTGGCCTGTACCCGGATGCTCTTTACACCGAATCCGGTTGGGAGTTACCTTCCCAAGATGATGAAAAGCTTTTGAGGTTTGTTTGTAGGTTAGAAGAGTAAAATGGATAGGCACTGATTTCCTCTGAGTTAGGCGTTGATGGAGAGGCTCTGACAGTCGATAGTAACACAGCACTACTAACTGACGTTTGGGGTTGTTGCATGAGTATGATTTGGCACAGGTGTGTAACAGCCTAGTGAAGCCAAGTAAATTAATTCAAATCTCAAAGTGATTTTCTTCACTTTTGTATACAGTATACAGGACATTTGCTTGTATTTGGTTGTTTTCTTTACTTGTATTTACTGAGCCTCTGCTCTTGCTGGGTGGGGTCACAGTGCCTTCATGGAGCGTCCATGCGTTTCGCTATTAGGGTTGGCAATTTTATACTTTCCCTAAATATTAGCTTCTTGAGACGTTTGTCCTTAATTTATACTTGAATATGCTAAACTTTAATTACACTCTGTTATGACGTGGTAGTACATAAGCAACTTCAGACATAAGTGTCTGAAGACATCCTTTTGCATGGGTGAAGTAGAAAACAAAGGTAAAAAATTCGAGCCTTATAATACTAAAGCTTTTTGATAATTTCAGTAATTGAATTTTACTTTAGTAATGATGGCTAAAACTGATTATAAAGTTTTTTACTTAAATCTAAATATCAATTGATCAAGGAAATTGGCTTATATCAATCTTTTCCTTCAGATTAATAATGTTTCTTTTCAGCATCTGCAAAATTATCACCAAAACATTTGTTGCATTTTATTCCTTTATTCTATTAATTGTACAAGCGTACAATTATAAGAACTTTTGTTTTTAATCATTTCTTTATTTTTAATTGTAGCCAATTGAAACTATGAAAAACTTGATGTCTGAAAGAAGTACTGTTGTTAATCCTTTGAAATAAAATATTTTGTGATTTGTTTACATGTGCTTTTAAAGCGATGTTGCCTTAGCTACAGCTTATCATAGTAGTTTGACAAAGGTATATCTTTTGTCTGCTTTCAGGATCAGCTGTTTTGACTCTCCTGTTGGCTGGCTATTTGGCACAACAATATTTACCACTGCCTACTCCAAAAGTAATTGGCATTGACCTGGGAACCACTTATTGTTCTGTTGGGGTGTTTTTTCCTGGGACAGGAAAAGTAAAGGTGATTCCAGATGAAAATGGGCATATCAGCATACCCAGCATGGTGTCTTTTACTGATGGCGATGTGTATGTGGGATATGAAAGCCTAGAGTTGGCTGATTCAAATCCACAAAACACGATATATGATGCCAAAAGATTCATAGGTAAGATTTTCACCCCAGAAGAGCTGGAGGCTGAAATTGGCAGATACCCATTTAAGGTAAGAGATTGGTCTCAAATCTATTTTAATATTAAGTGTACTATTTCAATTAATGCTTTGGCTTCACATTGCAAAACATTGTATCTCAACTGGCTTAGTCTATAAGGGAGTTATATTATCTCACAAAAATTCCTCAGCACCTACAGAAGGAAATAATTCAACGACTTACCAATGCTACCAAGAAAATGCGGCCTTACTCTGCCTATTTTGCCATCCTCATAATGCCCACTTCCTCTTTCAATGTATCTGGAAGAGTGATGAAGCCCTGTGTGCCTTCACTGGTATTCTATGAGTGTGTGCATATTTGTTTATAAGTGTCAAAGTATTGAAGTTTGATGATATCATCTCAGTTTTAGAAGAATGGCCTTGATTCTTGCTGTGATTACTGTGAACTTTCTCATTCTAACCCACTAATTTGATTTTTCTTTGGTTTGGTTTGGTTTGGTTTCTGTCTTAATACTTTGATGTATTTGGTTCTGAGTGGTTTCTGTTAAACATTTTGGTGTCTTTTCCCCCATATGGGAGTTTTCTTCTGAGTTTTGAAGTGGGGTTCTAAATGAATTAATTTCATCAGATAGTTGTGTCAGTACTAGTTATTGAATAATCTCATAAAAATATTCAAAGAGAGAAAAGGTTGCTTTCTATACGTCTCGGATTGTTAGCTTTTGCTTTTTACTTTTTCTTAGGATTTTTACATAATGTTAAATAACCTGTGCATATTAAGTACATTAATTTTTTATCTATTTTTAAGTTACTAGTAGTTGTCTAAGTGATCCGATCTCTTGGTCTGTTTCAGATGACTGTAATGGTGGGTTTGTATAATACCTTATTAGTAATATTATTATTAGTTTTTTGTTTTCTCGAGACTGGTTAAATAACATTTATAGAAGGTCAGGTTTTTCTAACTGAAATATAATTATGAAGTCTTGAATGACTGGGGAAATTATTATAATTTCTTTAAAACAGATTAATTCCCCTTACGATTAATGCAATCTGGAATCATATATTATTGAGTTAATTTTTTTAAATATATGCTCACGTGAGCATTGATAATGAGCTAATACACATTTCCATGAAAACGAGACAGTAAATGATGCTTAATTCTTGGACAAACATAATGAAGTGTTTACAATTATTTTTCTGTGTGCTAGAAAGTTTTACACAATATATGTATATGTTTTATGTAACCATTAATATGGGGAAAAAAGAAATGGTCGATCCTGCATGAAGGACATGATTGAGCAAATGTTATTCTATCTTGTCTGTGACTTCATTTCCTATTGATTCAGTTACTTGTACTCAACCACTGTCTGAAAATATGAATTGGAAAATTCCAGAAATAAACAATACACAAATGTTAAGTTGTACCCCATTTTGAGGAGCATGATAAAACCTTAACTTTCTCAGTCACACACAGAATATCTTATACCTTTCACTGTGTCTTTTATCTGACCATTACTCACCTAGTGGCCATCTTGGTTATCAGGTATTACAGTCCCTGTGTTTAGGTTATTTCATTTAGTAATGGCCCCAAAGTGCAATATTAGTGATAATGGAGATTTAAATATGTCGAAGAGAAACTATGAAGCATTTCCTCTAAGTGGAACAGCATCTACTGGGGATCTTGGACATACGACTCATGGATAAAGAGGTCCCTGTGTTTTATAACTCATTTTCCAATAAGTTTAGTGAGAATTTCTGGGTTTCTATAGAGTGTATGACTTCTGTTTTGCTATTACTGGAAACTTGTAATGTGGAATTATTTTATAAATTATAATGTATCACATTCAAGAAACTAATCTTGACAAAGGTAGTGGACAAATTATAGTGAATTTTATAACTTTGTAAAGATTTTTATAAAATAAATTGAGTATGTACATGTGAAAGTACATGTATGTATGTGTACACATGCATATCTTACACTCTTGTTTTTCAAATTTTATTCCCAGGTTTTACACAAAAATGGAATGGCTGAGTTTTCTGTGACCAGTAATGAAACTATGACCGTTTCTCCAGAATATGTTGGCTCTCGATTGTTGCTGAAGTTAAAGGAAATGGCAGAAGAATATCTTGGAATGCCAGTTGCCAATGCTGTCATTTCTGTACCAGCGGAATTTGACCTACAACAAAGAAATTCAACAATTCAAGCTGCCAGCCTTGCCGGTAACAGCACACTTGCCTGATATGCATTTTTCTCAAGATTTTGTTAAGGTGAAAATACAGTAAGAATCTATAGTAAGAATTACCATTACCAGTGAGTGAACCACACTGAAGAGAGAGCATTTGGGGACACAAACCTGATTTTGTAGGCCTTTGCATACATATACATCTGGACGGACACACACACACACATACACACACACACACACACGTTAGAGTAGAGAAACTTGGTGCAGGGGTTAGAAAGGGGACACAGGAGAGAATCTAAATATGATCAAAATATATTATTTGAATTTCACAATTTTTTTTTTAAAAATCAATTATAGGCACATAAAATATACAGCAGATAAATTAGTTGGATTTTCTTACACAAATTTACAAATGATAATTATGAAATCTGTGTGGTACAACATAAAATATATGAGAACAAAAAGTATTCTGGGACTGGGGATGTGGCTTAGTAGTAGATTACTCTTCTAGTATGCACAAGATCCTGGGTTTAGTCCTTAGGACCACAAAACTCATGGACACACACACACATATACACATAAAACAAAAAATAAATCCAATCTGATAGGCACATGCAGTGACTGGGAGAATGGAGGATGTGGGCATTACTAGTGAAGAATGTTTCCTCCTAAACTTTTATTGTTACAGTGAAATTATCTAGGGTGAAAAAGTGTTTTAACACTATTCAACACATCCTCTTGTGGTGCTTATATTCAACTTAATGGAAGCCCAGGATGAACATAAAATGAGACTTTTACTATGGGGCTTGTTAACCTTATTATTGACATTTTGATCTGGATGCTTCATTGTTGGGGGGAGTGGAAAAACATTTAGAGCACCCCTAGCTTCTTGTCACTAGATATCAGCTGTTTATTCCAAGTGATGGCAACCTGTAGTATCTTCATTCATTGCCATTTGCCTCTTGGTAATGTATCAGAAAGTAATAAGCTGTGAGAAAACAGAATAAGGGGCTTGGTGGTCGCTGGATCATGCAGGGCTTTACAGAGTGATGAGGTATGTCTTATTGAGAAAGTACACTCAAGTCTATGACCATAGGATCCTGTATGTGGCTGGCCTTCATCTGATCTCAGGAGCTAAGCAGGGTCGGGTTTAGTTAGTACTTAAGTGGGAGAAAGTTAACACTTAAGCATATTTAAGGAAAGTAAGGTAGGTAACTGTGTAGAGGCATGGAACAAGTGGGTTATCATTAGAGAAAACAACCACTGCAATGATCATTAGGTGGGAATTTGGTTACATAACCTACTATATTATTTTGTTGACCGTAGGAAGTTGAGTAGTGTGACCAGAGCAGAGTGCTGAAGTTGTAAAGCTTAAGAGAAGGGCGTTGTGATATCTGGAAGATTTCTTTACAGTTTGAATGGTGTTATGGCTCCTGAAGTATAATGCCATATTATTTTGTAGACCACTTTTTAAGTATGAAAGTTAGTTCAAAGCAGGAATTTTATTCAAGGTAATCTGGTTTTTGCCTTCATCAGATGAGTTTTTCTCATTTCCATAGATACACACATGCACACACAGACACACAGAAGTTTTGTTCATATATTTCCAAGTAGATTATCAGTATTAGAAAGTGCGGAGAGAATTTTTTTTCTAATTATTAAGTATAGATATACTTGTGTTTTTCCTTTATATTGTACTCTTTTAAGAATACTTTTTATTTCGTCATTTAGAAGAGCTTATATTTTTCATGCCCTCTGTTCTTTTCACTACTCTTATGCTACGTGGTAAAGTTCATGTCAAAGAAGAAACAAACACGCTGAAATTATAAGTTGCGTGGAAGGTGTTTTCCTCTCATGAATTCTCTTGTCCACCAATGGGCCTTACAGGACTGAAGATCTTGAGAGTAATTAATGAACCTACAGCAGCAGCTATGGCCTATGGTCTCCACAAAGTTGACGTCTTCTATGTGCTGGTTATAGACTTGGGTGGAGGAACTCTTGATGTGTCATTACTGAATAAACAAGGAGGAATGTTTCTAACACGAGCAATGTCTGGTAAGAAAAGTACAGAGAGAGTTAAAGAGGTTCAAGCATGCTTTCCTTAACATGGCTAATATGTAGCATATTGGCTTTTGTTTTCAGAGCATTTTGTAATTTTCTGTAAATTGTTGCTTTTATCTATGCAGCCAAAAGTTGTGTCAAAAAAAGAGGCTAGACATCCTATAAGTCAAATAAATAAGTTGCTCTTGAATAGTGCATTGAGAGTTCAAGACTCTCCTGGTGATCGTGAAGGGGGCAGAAAGGAAGAAAAATTCCTTTAAAGGAAGAGTGGTCAGACTATTTCATTTGTTACAGTGTTTTGTGAAGTAGTTGTTATAAGAATGACTTTTATTAATTCATGGAAATAATCTGGACTGATGACTTTTAATTAGCCCCAGGAAAACTATGCTTTCTTAATCTGATGACCAGGATTGGGTCTGATGATGGTGCATCTCCTTGGCAACCTCAGTATGGTACTCCTCCCAAAAAGATAATGAATGTTGGCATGCTTGAGAATTAACATACTGAAGCTAGCGGAACTAGTGTCCTCTGAGTTTCAGGCCCTCTCTTAAAAACTTATTTTAGGAGTCAGGCTTTTATTTTGTTCAGGATGGTTTTAATGTTGGTATAATTAATAACATCCACAAGATGTCTTAAAATGTAATTTTAATGTTATCTGAGGAATAACTGTTACTTTAAATCTTTTTTGTTTTAAACTTCTTACTTTTTGCTTTTTAAATGAAGGATTTAAGCATATTTACATTGAACTGTATGTTAAAATTGTTCTAACATACGTATTTTTCACTCTTCTTAACCAGCCTCTTTGGAGCCAAGATAAATACTTTGCATTTATATTATATGATTCTTTTCTAGAAGAATACTTTTTATGTTCAGCTTTTAATCATTAAAAATTAGATAGAATGTTTATTGGTATGTGTTAATCATAACAAGCACTTTCTTCTATTGAGAAAAATGACATTTACTGTTTGTAGATAGCTGCTTAACAAGGCAATGTGTGATTTCATTCTCTTATGCTGCCAAAAGTATTTGATATTATTGAGCTACTTCCTTCGATACCACTTAAAAAATTTAACCCTGATGGCACTGTTTTTCAATGGCATGTGATGGCAACAGAATGTGACAGAATTGAGACCCAATATGACTTGTTTCTAGATTCCAGAAGTAGATGACTGTTAGCACTTACAATTTAGGTTAAAATGAGTTTAACATAGTTCTTTTTATTCAATCTTTGTAAATAACAATATTAAGGTATTAAAGAATTTCTTATTCCTAGACTATTTTAACACATACAAATAATATGTATATGCATATATGCATAAATATAAAATAAAGTTTTTAACTGTTCATTTAGGAAACAATAAACTTGGAGGACAAGACTTCAATCAGAGATTGCTTCAGTATTTATACAAGCAGATCTATCAAACATATGGCTTTCTCCCCTCCAGGAAGGAGGAAATCCACAGATTAAGGCAAGCTGTGGAAATGGTTAAATTAAATCTGACACTTCATCAGTCTGCTCAGATAGCAGTATTACTCACAGTAGAAAAGGACAGCAAGAGACCTCAGAATGGTGACTCTAAAGTATCAAAAGACCGACTCATCCCCACAGAGAGCCACCATGCAAATCAAGTGCTTGAGCCTGGCCTTTCTGAAAATAAAAATGAAAAAAGTCAAGTTTTATTTGAGTCAGAAATATCCCGGGAGCTCTTTGATAACCTTAATGAAGATCTCTTTCAGAAGATACTCGTCCCCATTCAGCAGGTATTAAAAGAAGGCCACCTAGACAAGACTGAAATAGATGAAGTGGTTCTAGTTGGGGGCTCAACTCGCATTCCACGCATCCGCCAAGTCATTCAAGAGTTCTTCGGAAAGGATCCCAACACATCTATAGACCCTGACCTGGCAGTGGTGACGGGAGTGGCCATTCAAGCAGGGATTGATGGAGGCTCTTGGCCTCTCCAAGTCAGTGCTTTAGAAATTCCCAATAAGCATTTACAAAAAACCAACTTCAACTGAGCTCTGAAGGAATGCTAGTAATTGTAATCTCTTCTGATTCTGATGGTTTCTGTTGTCAAACCACCTCCTGAAAAGAAAGTATCTCACAGATTGACCCAGAGAACATTTCCATACAAAGAATTTTACATAGTATTTATTTTAGAATTGAATATGACCAGATCTATCCTGTTTGGTTTTGGAGAAGTTTCATGGGGATTCTAAAATTATAGAGTTGAGGTAAAACTCATCTCTGGATTCTGGAAGTAGACAACCATTTGCACTTAATATTCTGAAAACAATAAACAGTGCCAATTATAAGGTTCCCAGGTCTTACTGAATTGTGTTAGTAGGAGCTGAGAATTCCTTACTTGGTTTCACACATGACTATTAATTTGATGTATACTTGAAGGACTGGGTTGATGTCAGGTATTTACTTTGATTGGGAACTAGCAGTATTTTGAAACTGCACAGATAGTATTCATTAGCTTCCATGTAGAAAATTTCTTTCAAGAATTCAATATCCTCATATGTTATATTCTCATAATCTACAGATTTTACTATATTTGAAAGAACAGATTTTCTTCCTAAAATTAGTTATTCAGATTTTTTTTTATGCCAGATAATAGAAAGGCCCTCTTTGTGTTGTAGTGTCTTCATCCGCAGTGCAGCATTCTCCATGTCTTTTCACAATTCTTTTTGGTACGAAATCAATAGGGAATTATTAATTGCTCTTTTGAAATGTATTAATGCCTCAATAAAGCCTCATTCCTCTCGTGTTTGTTATCTAAGACCTTTGCACAGATCAAGCATTAGTAGAAATTTCTTGTTTGGGTTTTTGTTTTGTTCGTTTCTTTTTCTCACAGAGCAAAGCCTGGAAGTGCTGGCATGTAACCTAGCTACTCTGGAAGATGAGGCAGGAGGGTCACAAGTTCAAGACCTGCTTGGGCTACAGACTACATTCCAGGCCAGCCTACACAGCTTAGTGACACCCTGCCTCTGTCTCAAAATAAGAAACTAAAAGAGGAAAAAACAAAACAACAGCCACAGGGACCAATAAAGAAAATGCTGTAGTTTGATTTCAGGGATGACCATGTTATTGGATGATATGTGTGGTTTTACATAAATGGCGGCATGCTTCACCTTAAATTGCAAAAATTATGTTCCGGCTGTTTTGTTAATACAAAATCCCTCTGTATCCAGCATTGGATTTAAAAGATTGTTAAAATTCAACTAACTAAAGAGAACTAAGCAAAATTCAGCAAGACTAAATTTCAGCTTCTCAAGGAATAATGTTCAGTGATGTTAACATTCTTTGCAGATCTGTAAAATGTTGCTCAGCAGTGAAATTTTTGAAAAAAAAATTTCAGTCAGATATTTTTATGTACAAAAAATGTGTATACTAGGTAGATAGAAACATGTGAAATGCTGTGTTTTATTTTAGAACTAATAGAGAAATGCCAAAGATGAGTCCTTTCCACCATTATGGAAATATTCAGATGTTCTCTTGGACTTTGTATGACTCTTTAATGAATTTAAGAATTGAAAAATACCTTTGAAGACATATTTGAGATGAAAGTATTCAATTTATCTTACAATTTCCATATATAGTAATATAGTATCAATTATCATCTAAAACATTTGCAATCATAAAAAAACTTGAATTTCTCAGATATTTGATAGGACTCAAGACACAGAAACAATTTGCAAAACAGAGCAGCTAAATCATACTAAAATTGGAGTTTAAAGAATGTGTGTAGCTAACTAGAATGGCAGGAGTCAGGGCGTTTAACATATTCTTCTCTAGACTCGTTACATTTAAAAAAATGAAGGAATCTGGCTTCAGTCATAGATTAGGAAGTCATATACACCTATTCTTCACATGAATGTAGTTTATTTAAAAGATCTAAAACATCCCTGAAAAGGGCCATTTATGAGGAACAATCTTTATGAGGAAAAATCCTTTTTCTGAAAATGAGCTTTTTAGTGTTTTTGAAGTATGTAACTTTAAAACTAAGTGTCTTGTATAATTAGAATATGTGAATGAGTAATTTATTTTGTATCAGGAATGTTTTGGTACTGTGTTTTCATTCAAACCACTGAATTATCAACAGATCCTGCTGTGTATAATATGTACTCTTATGACATTATTGTACAGAACAGATTGTGCCTCTCAAATCTGTATGTATACAAGTAATTCATATTTTACTGTAAGGACATGCCATTTTTCAGTTTGGTTTTTTTTAAACTGTATACTTTATTTTCTATCCATGACTTGGGTGGAGTCTATTTTTAATGTATGTAAATACAAAAGAGAATGAAGCTGATTTGATGCTTATGGACTTCAGTCAGTAGCAGTGGCCTAATTCCAGAAGTATGCATTTTCCTGCATCCCAAATGTCTTCTGGGATTTCTGCCATATTTTCTGACATTTTTAATTTGGAAGAGACAGTTCCAGCATCACATGAGCAGTTTCTTCAGAACTCATGATAACAATTCATGGCTTCTGACTAGTGGGGTCAAGCTCTAACTTGATCCATGTAGTTAAATGAACTTGTGTAACACAACTCCAATCCTTTGGTTGATAGTTAATTCTTTACAATTTTTAAATAAAGTTTGTGTTATTCTTTTGGACAAAAATTCAGCATAATTATTTTCTGTCTTAAGGAACTCATTCCATAAAGTCATCTTAAAGATGACCCTTGAAGATAATGTACTTGATCCCTTACATGACTAATTCCTGTGATTTTTTTCAATACATTTTTATTCTTTGAGAATTCCATATATGTATATACTATATTTTGATCTTATTCATTCCAATTCCCATCTCTTATCCCCCTTCCCACTCTGTCTTGAACCCTCCCCAAGTTTCACAGTACTTGTCTCCATCTTCCAGTTTCTCCCCCTTTTCAAAATGTTCCCTGAACCTTGGGGGTAGGACTGTGATAGAGATGTCCCTTTTGCACCTGATCATTTAGCGTCACTGAAAATCAGTGATGTTTTAGCTGGTTATGAGTCTTGGCATTAACCACTGCCTACTGCAAAAAGAAGCTCCGATCAAAGTTGCAAGCAGCACTAATTGATGTGTATACACAATTGTATTTAGAAGGCACTCTGACAAATACTTGGCCAAACAACAGCTGTAAGTTCTTCCCAGGACCGGCCTTCCCTGCCCATCTGCCGTTGACCAGGTTTACATTATCAGGCATGAGTTCCCTCATGTGGAGTGGACCTCACTTCCAATTTAAATGATCACACCCATTAATTCATGCCACTATTAACACCAGTGAGAATATCTTCCCTGGCAGGTCAGTGCTCTAGCACACAGGGTAAGAACATTACTGCCTTTTCTTCCCTCGCAGCCTGCACAGCACCTCTGACACTATGAAAGTAGCCAGCAAGGAGGGTGTTTCCTGGTCAGTTCCATTGATTTCTCTGTCCTGCACCCAAAATGTTTGGCATCTTCAGCACTAGAGTCTTATCTAGCTATGATGAGCAAAGAACAGTGACAATAGCCTGTATTGTTTTGAGAACCTCTGAGGCCTCCCTGACCAAGAAGACATAGGGCAGTATCCCATATCTGGCTTTCGGGTTTTTGTTTAATAATCCATGCCTTCTGGGATCCTCATTATCCATCCATGCCAGGTATTTCTATTCAAACTGCTTTAAATTTTACATATTATTTATAAATTATGTATATATATATATGAGCTGAGCTTACAAAGCAGTAGATCTCCATAAGTCTTTTCATACATTATTAGTTTTAGTTAACCCTACCCCAAAACCTTCTGATCCCCATTCTGCCTGTTACATCTCCTTAAACATTTTTATCCTCAGTATTTCTCTCCACCTCCATCCTCCACACCTCACCCCATACCCTCCTTAAGCCTTTCCACCCAGCATTACCCATCTACTTTCATAACATATGTGTTCTATCTCCTTCCCCAGCTAAAGATTTGTGAGTGTTAGCTTTAATTGTCAGCTTGATACACCTAGAATCACCTGGGAAGAGTTTCTATGAGAGATTGTCTAGACTGGGTTGGCCTGTGACCATTACTTTGGGGAATTGTCATAAGTCAATTTATGTGGGAAGACCCAGAGCACTATGCACAGCAGCATTTTCCAGGCAGAGTCCTGAACTGAATGAATGGAGAAATTGAGCTGAGCACCAAGCACCAACAGTGAAGAGACTTGCATGTACTTCCTGGGCTCATGACTGTGGATGTCTTTTGACTAGTGCTTTGAAGTTCCTGCCTTGACTTCTCCACAGTGATGGATTGTAACTTGGAATTGTAGGTTGAAATAAACCCCTTTCTTCCCTAAGTTGCTTATTGTCAGGATATTTTACCACAGCAAAAGAAAAGAAACTAGAACAGGCCTCTTGCCTTCTCACTTCCATGGGTACTTTCCAGCTTCTTGAACTTTACAGACACTTCAAATTAAAACACACAAAAATTTAAAGGTAGGTTTCATATATGAGGGAACATACACTGTCTTTCTTCATCTGGTATAATATTTTCCTGATCTGTCCAGTTTCCTGTGAATTTCATTTTTCTTTACAGCTAAGTAAAATTCCATTGTGCAAGATTCCACTGTATGTATGTACCACATTTTCATTGTCCATTCCTCAGTGGATGGTCATCTAGACTAATTCCATTTTCCAGCTATTGTGAATAAAACAGCAATGCACATAGCTATAGAAGTATCTCTGGAGTAGGCTATAGAGTCCTTTGAGTAAATGCCCAGGCGTGGTATATGGTAGCTCTACTTTTCCACTTTTAACTTTTGAGAAACCTATACACTGGTACACAACCTCCAGCAATGGATAAGGATCCCCCTTTCTTTGACATCCTTGCTGGAATTCATTGTCATTTGTTTTCTTTATGATAGCCATTCTGACTAGAGTGAGATGGAATTTCAAAGTGGTTTTAATTTGCATTTCTTTGATGGTAAATGATGTTGAACACTTAAGTGTTTCTTAGTCATTTGTATTTCTTCCTTTGAGAACTCTCTGTTCAGTTCCTTAGATTACTGAATATCTTTCTAAAAATTTTAACTACATTTATTTGGGGGAATGGCATGGTATGTGTGCAGAGGTCAGAGGACAACTTACAGAAGTGAGTTTTCTCCTTCCGTTCTGTGGATCCTGGGTCTTGAACTCAGGTTGTCAGATTTAATGACAAGTGCCTTTAGCATCTACACCATCTGTGGCCCTTCCCTCTGGGTCTCCTGATGATCAGACAAGCCATATATTTTATGTGAGGTTATTAACTTACAAAGGAATGAGTTCCCAGTGCCTAGCCCTGTGCTGTGACTCAGAGCCTGCCTTATCAGACCATGCCATGCCCATAGTCCCCACTAGCATTCGCTCACACCTCTGGGGCCAGCGATTGCCCCATGTACACAAGTCAGTCCACCCTGTCCTTCAGCTGCTGAGTGGCTGGCTGTGCATCCCCCACACCATGTGCACTACCTGCGGCTTGTGGCTTCTCTCCCAAGATGGCCTCCAAAAGCCTCTTCATAGTCCACGCTCCGTATCAGGCCCCACCCATTGGAGGAACTAGCCAATAGGGAGACACTCCATCCCTTTCCTCTGCTCTTACAATCTCCCCATCTTCTGCTAAAGTCCCCGAGCCTTGGAGGGGGTGATAGATGTAGGGAAATCTCTCTTGTATCATGGTGAGATAGTGGTTTCTTGGGCCTCCCCATTAGTCATCTTTAGGCCGTGGCCATTGATCTATCTCAGTGGTGTTTCTTCTACTATAAGGACAAATGGAAGGAAGTAGGCATATTTCAATTAACATGAATGTAAATACAGATGCCTAGAAGATATCCTAATAGGTGTACTATATTCATTAAACAGTATACTCATGATGGCTTCTCCACTAGGGCCTGTAGTCTTCCTTGACACAAGGCGTTGGCCTGGCCTACAGCACCAGATGTATGTTCCACCCCTAGGAGAGGGCCT